GCCCTAGAATGAAACAACAGGTTTTCTTCCTTTTATGGTATGCTTATGAATATTTAGATGAGCTGTGCTCTGATTGGTTGGTTTACAACGAGCTGAGCAAAGACGCATCATAGCAACAAGCACTCACTCACTGAAACATCAAAGTGTTGATGTGGTAGGGTGACCCGACGTCCTCTTTTTCCAGGACATGTCCTACTCTTCATACTTAAAAAAATGTCCAGGGGGGATTTCAAAATCGTCAGACAGACTTAGTGACGGATTTTGGTCGACTACAGTGCAGCATGTAGTCGAAACACGCAAGGCTCTCGAAGAGATCCATCAGCTCTGGGGCTGGTTCAGGAACCCCGGTGGGGCAGGGAGCCAGCGGGGGACAAAAGTACAGGCCAGAACCAAATAAGGCAACATCCCAGAGTTTATGTCAACTCAGGGCTTCGTCTGGATTCGCCCGCTTTAAGGTGGAAGTTTAGAATTGTGAAATTTGCAGAGAAAGGAGGTGTCAATGGAGTTTGAACTTCTCTGTACGTCCATTATACATCTATGACAATGTAAACTCGGTTTTTCATTCTAAGACTCCTTTAAGAATGTTCTCTGAAAGCCCAAGCTGCACGAGGTAAATAATAAGAGCCTCTGTGACATTATCCTGACCTGAACTTAACACAGGAGTTTATTTTTTAAAAGGGTTAGATTAATCCAGTTTAATTATGTTTAAAAAATAAAACAAAATAATCCGCTGTAATAAATAGGTTGTATTTTTAAAAAGTATAGGAAATAAGTAAAAAAAAAAAAAAGTGATCAATGTGATTCTGGTATGTTTATGTTCATGTCAAGCTTTGACTGGTTTAGTTGACTTTAACACTGATGTCAAAAATGGTTTAGAATATATTTAACTTTAACCATTAATATAGCTTCAATTTTCCACAATAGAATATGTAATTTATGTCCATTTTTGTTCCTTCTGTATTTTCCAATCATTTTAAATATATTGCTTTTGTATAGATTCATCTCTTAATGGAGGAGAGCTCCCAACTGCTCTCTGATGGGAGTACTGGCTCTGTACTGGGAGTGTTGAAGCTCACTTGATGAATAGTGATCTCATCTTTATGGATCTTGGTGGGTTTCATGCTTAAAAGCTTTTATGCTCTGATGAGACGATCTTTTTATAGAAGCAAAACCCTTCAGGTCACACCAGCTTTGTGCTCAATCTTTTCTTCTTGATGAAGATGTACTTTAATGTTTACAGAGTAAACATTTTAATAGTTTGTTGACTTCCTCATATTTTCTTTTATTAATTTAACATAAAAAATGATGGTGGATGAGTCATCCCTGCACTTCCACCACAGCTACTGTGGCTCCGATCAATTTCTGTTCTGAAAACTCATCAAGAACTAGATGCTAATTCAGAGAGCTGTGAAAAATGATAAACACTGGGTTAGGAAACATGATGCAAAACATGTTTTATGAAAAAATACAGCTTTTATTTTAAATGTGTAAACTGGAAAGACCAAGTAACTCTAGCTATATCATTTCTGCAATTATCTCAGCATTTCCTCGTTAATTACATCAAGCCCACAGATTGCAGAAGAAACAAGATAACAGTTTACAGCAGGATCCTTTTTCCGATAAATTCATCTTCATTCGGAGTCAAACGCTAACTACGATTTCATTTGTCAGTCTCTGATTAACCTTTTGCTTGTGTTTCCTTTCCTGCAGCAATTAGTCCTACAAAACACAGTTAAAGTTTGCTGTGGTGGGCTTTCCAATACAAAAAAAATCCCACAAATTTCACATGGTTCCAGTTTCCCACATTAAATAAAAAAGATGTAAATCACATGTGAAAAATCTGTATCACGTAGGTTTTACATCTGAGCGCTAATATGTACGTATGAATTGGAACATTTCATGTTAAACCCACATGTGATAGACACATTTTTACATGTGATTCCCATTTTAATATAAAGCAGATGTGTATTACATGTGAAAAATATGGGGATCACTTGAAAAACTGTTTATCAAATCATCATGTATAAGCTCAAATGCTTGTGTACATGTGAATTTGGAACATTTAAATTTAAAAGCACATGTGATACACATATTCCCATTTGAATTTACATATAATTCACATTTGAGGCACATGCGTATCACATGCGAAAAATATGGGGAAAATATGGAAAAATCTCACATGTGAATCACAGTCAAAAATCCATCCATACATGTATGCATGTGCTTCACATGTGATTCCCATTTAAGACGCATATAGTCCATTTATATGTTTGTATTTTAAGGGTTTCATTTTTAAAACACATGTTTCATATGTTTCTTATTTCACAGGCGATTCAAATATGAAAATATGTGCATCATGTGATTAATTTATTAACATGTAAAAAGATGTCAGTTACATTTGATTCTCATGTGACTCACGTGTTGTGCACATGTGAATCACATGGAATTTTTCTGTATGGGTTTCGGTGACACAGAAGGTAAATTTAGGTAAATTTTCTAGTTTTTGTTTTTAGTTAATAATACCTTTAAACTGCACCTACGTCATCTTATGTAAATCTGATTTTTTCATTTCTAGTCCACCTGCAGGTTCTTCTGGCTGTGGTTCTGGCTGTGTTCTGCTACTGTCTGGTTCTTTGCTGCATCTTTTGCTGTCGCAAACAGAAAAAAGACTCCTCTGAGGAAAAAGAGACCATTTTCCTGCTCCCTCGTCCCGCTGACAGCGTGACTGTGACATTGACTCATTCTCAGTGTGCTCAGCCTGGGGAGCAGCAGTATGAAGAGCTGGACGGGGACGTGTTGGAGTACCTTTCTTTTAAAAGCAGTTCTTCTCCATCTGAAGATGACCTCGGCAATCTCCCGTTCGACCCCAGCCCTTCCGGACCGGCTGAGCGGTTGCAGTCCTCCAGGCCTACCTTCCCAATGCGTCGCCTCAGTACTCCTGCTCTCCCCTGCTCCCCCAGTAAAGCTTCCACTCATGGCAGGGCCTCTTTACCTTCCCTCACCAAGCTCAGCTTTGTATCCAAATCCCGCCTGGTGATCGGGAGACGCAGAACTGTTAGTGGGGAAAGTTTGGCTTCCAGTGAGAACAGTCACCTTACTGCTGGTGCTAACAGTCAGCAGGGGGAGCCATGCCTCCCCCATTATGGCTCCCTATCTGTCTCACTCAAGCCAGCTCCCCTTCTGCACTTTTCCCTCCTCTTTAACTCTGCCTCTGGCACCTTGGTGGTCAACATCCTGAGACTGTCTGGAGACACTAGAAGGGGATGGGGGGTGTTTGCTCGTGTCTGCCTTCCTCCACTTCACCCTGTGCCCCAGCAGACAGCCCCACGCCGACGCAGCTTCAATCAGGACTTCATTAGCCAGAACTTCTCTCTGGAGGTGGGCTCTGTGGAACAGCTCTGCACATGTACCCTGAGGCTGGCCGTCTACAGCAGGGATTTCTCAGGGCTAAGAGAGGCTGCTCTGGGCGAAGTGGAGCTGGCCTGTGACGAGATAGAGTGGGAGCCTGACTCTAGCATTACCTACACCAAGCAGCTCATGCAGAGTCAAAACAAGCTGAAAAAGGTAGATGTGAGAAAAGCTTTTTATATTTGTTGAAAAGTTTAACACAGAAGTTGATTAAAAGTTACAGTACCAATTTCAGCACTGAAAATGCCTGCGTTCACAATCTTAGTCAAAACCAAATTTTTTTTGCGAACTTTTACATGGTAGTCAGAACATTCTGATCTTTTCACCTCCCAAAAAATTTCAATTGGGCGACCTCCGTATGTGGTATTAAATGATATACATGTCAGATCGTTTCTGAGGAGTCTCAACGCTTATGTCTGACTTCATCATCCAGGCTCTAACTACTCATTCAAACAGTTTGCTCTCCAGCACAGCCATCTTTACTTCACAGAAACAACTTGGAAGCATTTTAACTCAGTTTTTTTGTGCCTGTCTCTGTCTCTTTATAATGTGATCATGATATTTTCAGCTACCATTGTTCAAAAATGTTAAACTCACACACCATCAACATTGTTCAATAACACACAGATCTGTTTTTATCTCTGTAACCAGTGTCCTGCTATGTGACGTGTAAACAATCTGAACAGCAATGCAAAAACAATGTAGCATCAAGACCTGAAGTGTGAACTAGAGATCGATGGTTAGAGGGATTTTAAGGCTGAAGCTGATACCGTAATGTTGGTGTGGCTGTAGGTACAGGAAGTTCAGCAATCTCCCTAGAGTCAGTTTCAACATGACCATAATCTGACGGAGGATGATTATGAACACGTGAGTCACTAACCTGGTCTAACAGTTCAGTCTGTGCCCAGAGAACATGGTAGATTCCAGCCGGTAGGGGGACAAGACGTAGTGGACGCTGCCCAGAGAGTTCCAGACGCTGAAGCCTTGAAAGCTACAGAACTGGCAGGATGTCAGATCTAAGCAGGCAAAGAAAAGCAAAATAATTCAGAGGGCGAAGTCAAGAGGCAGATCCAGGTACATTCCACAAGAACAATCCAACAGGAGTCTGAAAACAGGTCAGGCAAACAGATCAGAACAGGGACAGGCAGGTTCAAAGGTCCGAAGACAGAATGGGTCAGGATCAGGCAATCCGAACACAATCAGTACCGCTAGAAAACTCTCACACCAAAGGCTCAAAAATAAACAGGCCCTGATGACTGGGAGCAAGCAGTTTAAATAAAAACTGGAACATGTGGATATGATGAGCAGTAATGAGAAACTGGGTGGAATTAAACAGGTGAATGAAATGAGTAATTAAGCCAGTCATCAGCCCCAAGATTATGAAACAGACCTCAAGGACTTGAATTGAGACCAAACCAGAGTTTGAACTAAAGTTCTTTAAGAGATGCTAAAACAAAACTAAATATCAATGGGGTCCTGTTTCACAAAGAAGGGTTAGTGGTAATCCAGAGTCAGTCTTGGGCTAAATCCATGCATACCCTTTTGTTTCAGAAAGTTGTTTCATGAGTTTCCTTTCCTAAAACCTGGTGAGGTTGGTTTACAAATATCATGAAGATATCTCTATTGGCAGAGGAGGATTAGAGCTGGATAAGATGCTTTATTTTTTCTAAAGGAATATCTCTACTAAAGATTTTTATATTTTCAGCAAGTACCAAATAAGATTTATCTGGACCATTTTTATGCTACTATTATGTGTACTGTACGAATTATTGGCATTGTGAAGATGGCCTGATACACATACATTTTTTGGAAATCATGCCATTAATTGCTTCCTGTTCTGTTTCACACATTGAATGCACACATAATGTATAAAAGTTTAGCAAACCAGTTTTTAAGGGCCACTTATCTGATATTTATCACATTGTCTTCAAATGTTGCTCCTTTAATCTCACATTTTGTAGACAATCATAAATATAAATGTTAAATCGTCTTCTTAATATAATAACTATGGTTTCCAATTACAAAAGCAAACAAATGAATGAAATACAAATAATTTTAGTCCAGCCTTCATTCAAAGCAACAAAAGATGCTCACAGGGAGACTTATACTCTAAAAAGTTTTCAGATCTGCAGTTCCAGTGCACACCAAAGGTATTTCAGTTTTGTTCTCGTCTTTATACTTTTAATTTTGTTCTACCATGCTTGTTTTTCCTTTAAAGTTCCAGACAATTATCACAGTTTGAAAACAATATAGACCAAAGCTTTGAAATGTTTTATGATGCCTTCATCTTTAAATGTAAACCTCATTCATTTGTGTTTTTCTGTGATTTATATGCTTTCTGTGTCAGTGAATGCATCACGGATTCGCTAAAATAGTTACTTCTCAACGTCTTGAAAATTTGATTTAATGAATAGGGAAAGTTTTCCTGCACCCTTTCAGAGAACATATATTTAATCCATGATCACACTGAGCGTCTAATAAGCCATGCCATTAGCCAGTTTTCTTGAGATGTTAGTCACACTGCTGTCTGGGACTGCAGAGCGAGCAGGCCGAGTGAAACAAATTGGATGATCGCCCACGCGGTGCTCTCTGTGACTCAGCTGCAACTCTGCCAAAAGGCATTAATCTCAGCCTTTTGAAGGGAGGTGAACCAGAGGTTTTATTCTACTTTATTTAGTTGCGAGCTGCACTGTTCTTGTTGGGGAAGACATTTTTGTGTCAAATTACAGGTTTTCCTTCCTATTCCACAGCATCATCTTAAAAAAGTCATAGTGGGAGCAGCTGCTGGACAGAGAAAGCAAGGTTGCTCTGCATCCATGGATATAAAGGAAGAAAAGTTTCTACAGAGACTGGACCCTTAGGCTACAGCTTTAATGTACCATTGTTTTCAGTACAGACTGACATAGTCTTTCTAATCAGTGTGATGTCATCAGTGGGCGTTTTGACAATAAATCTTCTGTACTTTACACATTTTGTTGGAATGAAAGGCTCTGACACTGCAGGCAATAATAAAAATAGTTAATTAAAAAAAAAAAATTTAATATGAAGCATCCATAATCCAGAACAAACATCAAGTTAACATCAGTCAGCAAGGATAGAAAAAAGTATTTTTTTCTATTTTGTTTTTTTAAGAAACCTGCTGAAAGGCAGACATATACAATAAATATCACGTAAATTCACAGTACTGTTTGAGTGACAATGTTCTAATGCCACCTCTCCAGGAAGACTGGAGAAGTGAGTCTTATATAGACGGTCCATATAAGACTCAAACTCACTGCGGATCCAGACATTTGGATTGAGAAAGCTTCCTGGAGAGGTGGAGAAACGTCTTCAAACCTTGGAAACCAAGTCCAGTGGATATTTTGTGAATTTTTACGGAATGACTACGACTGAGAACCTTCATCAGCATAAAATATGAGTAAATCAACATTTTCTTCAAATAACTGGGAAAGAACTTGAAATAAGGGAAAGAACTTGCAATGTAATGTTGAAAAATAAGAAAAAATAAAAACACAATTTTCATATTAAAGGTCCATATACCGGTAATCCAATTATTTTACTTTAGGGTCAAAAATACCAACTCTATTGGGAGATCATCTTATCTACCTGTGCACTTTCACTATCCCAGCTATTGTTATTTTTTTTGTCACTGCAAATGATTTTGACAATTTGCTGGAAAATTATTTCAAACTCTCAGCTAATCATGTCTCTTAAAAGATAATTTAATTTCACAGAGAAAAAGGAAACCCCTCCTTGCTCAGTTGGAACCATCACTTAAAAAGGTGTTGTACATTTGAGTAATATTGTCTAAAGGTGAAGCTGTATTGACAGCAGCAGTGAACTGAAACAATCACGCTGAATAAATGAGCCTTGGATCTCTAACTTCCATCAGTCCCCGATGGACTAACACTCATTCAGCTGACGGCAGAATGTGACTCACTGGACCTTTCACAGTCTGCGCTGATGAAAGTTGACAGGAAATTAACGGGAGTGTTACACATCAGCTGTTGCTTTTATCTGAAGTGACAAAGAGCATAGACATCTATTACTATTCATTAGTGGTCAAATGAAAACAAAAAATATGTGAAAAGTTACGACTTCTACCTTTAAGTGCCTCATGCATACTTCATCATCCAAATCAAATCAAGTGAAAAACTAATGCTTTCCCTTCTACCAAATGTAGAATTTTAACCTGTAGATTCTCACTGTTCCTTGTCTTCAGAGTTTTAGCTATCGGGAGACTGTTGGACGCAGGAAAAGCTCAGTCGGCATTCCACGGATGTTAGGACAACTCTTAATTTTGCTGCAGTACCAGAGCCTGGCTCAGCGCATCAAAGTGATGGTTCGAAAGGCTGAGAATCTGGTCAAGCTGACACGAATCCCAGGAACCCCAGGTGACAATACCAAACTAAGAAAATGTCATTTTCCTGAATTTCATAATGTTCAGTTTCTTCATCAGTTATGTAGAGAAGGTTGATGAAAGAAGCACTAAAAACTGTATTAAACTAAGAAAACAGACATTTTAGTTAATTTTAGTAATATTGTTTAATGAACACACCATATCTCCATATCTAACGTTTTATGTATATCTAAATGCTTTTATAAAGTCTTCTAAAAAAATAACTAATGGACCTTTTGACCTAATCATCAGCTTTTGCTGCAGTTTGATTGTCAAATTGAAGGGACTCTGATTGGGCCAGTCCATAGCGTTATCATTCCAGACACAGCAAACATGCTGTGTCTGGAATAAAACATGTTGATAACTTAAATCTACAGAAGAGCACTAAAGATTTGGGGGTTAGTTGTGTATTTTTTCAATATAAATTACCTTATTTGTGTTTATAGACAGTCACAACACAGTGAGGTAAAAAGTAAAATGGCAGCCATGCATTTGCACGTACTGAGGGCGTTTGGTGAGGTAGTTGATAGTCCAGGCAGCCAGATGTTTGTCCACTCCAGCGTCTTACAGCTACCCCCTTAGCAGTGTTGGTCTGATGGTTTTGAAAGCGCTGGAGAAGTCAAAGAACATGACTCGCACAGCAATTGCAGGTGGTCTCCAGGTGGGTGAGCGCCCGCCAGTGGCCCCACCAGGGGGTGGCCAGGGCATTGGACAGGGTGGCCGTGGTAAATGTATTACCATCTGTTTAATATTTCATCCCATTATGCACAGCCAGCAATGTAACAATAAAAATCACACAATAAACCAAGATATGAGTAGGCGTTAACTTAAGTCTTTATTACTTCTACAGGCAGGTTTACCACAATAGTAGATTCAAAGCATGAAATTAGGGATTTTAGTTTCAGTGTGCCACCCTTATGAAACATTTCTGGAGGAACCACTGGCGCCCGCCTGGGTCCAGGGTGGGGCTCACCACGGCGTGGAGGTGTGCGAGGATGAGGTGTTCCACGGTCTTCATCAGATCGGAGGTCAAGATAGGCTTGTGTTAGCATTTGATAGGCAGGCGTTAGCATTGGATTTATTTGCATTCAATAGCCTGCTTCAGCTGGTGATCTGCTATAAGAGACACACAAAGCTGAAATTGGTTTACAAATGCAGTTTTTTTAATTTGGTAACACGTATTGTAAAAGACCATCAGTACCCTAGTACTATAATCTTGAACGCAGCATCAAAGAAAAAAGATTTTTTAAAGTCCCTGCTACTATTTATAAGCCTGCTAAGAGCTTTTGAGCTTTAAAATAATTGGATTTAGAAATGCAATGTTTGCAGAATAACCCTTAGTGGCGGTTTTCATTCTGACACCCTAGTGCTCTAGCTAGATTCAAGGACAGCCACAGGGTCGACGTGATTTGGTCACATTAGTTTTAAAAACGCAGAAAATTGTTAACTTTCTCACTTTTCACTTACAATTCAATTCTGAGATTGGTGACACCATAAAGTAAAACTGTGGTTAATTTGCTTTGTCATTAAAGCTTATATTAACATTTAGCTTTATTTTATGTATTCTCCTGCTCTGGGCAGGTTTACTGGTTCCTTGTTTGGCGTGTAAAATAATCAGATCAGAACGTGATGAGTCCAGAAGTCATTTCCCCTCCTGTCTGTGCCATGTCTCACTGCATTTGATTTTCTGCTGGTTAGGAATGGAGGAAGCAGAAGAAATCTGCACAGAGAAAAATGTACATATGTAATAGAGCCACAGTATTTTCTGTTGTGGTAAATTGCATTAGCTTTCTTAAACGGATTATCAACAGAGATTATATTTTCCTAGTGATGTTGGAGATATGGAGGCGGTAGTCTGTGAGTGCTATGAGGAAAAAAAGCTTTTTTAAATGTGAGTGTAGCAACAGAGCTTTCCAGTGTTTTCCATGCATGAAAAATACCTGATCATAAAATTATAGATACTTGTGTATATTTTCTTTGTTTATTGATAACTACAGAAAGAAACTAAATGAATGTATTCTAAATTTTCTGTTTAAATAATATCCAACATAAAAAGCTGTAATAAAGCTCAGAACGTAGGACTCAGAATTCACGGTGAGACAGACAGTGATTACTTAAAAGGCCTTTATTGACACCGACGCTGAGCTGTGGATCTGCAGCGGCTGGAGTAGCACCGCTTATCACTGGAAACTCTGGTGGAGAAAAATATAAGTAAGTGACCATAATAATCTGACGGAAGATGATTATCCGTTTGAGTCACTTACCTGGTTTATCAGTTCAGTCAATCTCCATTTAACGTGGTATGATCTACATGGTGGGCTGCCAACTAGCAGGCGTTGCCTAGAGTGTTCCCAATGCTTCAGTCCTGGAGGACAAGCTCAACCCTGAGCCAGGTCACAGAAACAGATCAGAACGGGAAGGCTAGGAGGTCCAGGAGTCCAAAGCCCAATCAGGGATTCAAAACAGAACAGGAAAAGGCTGGTCCAGGGACCAGGAGTCCAACAGAGATTTCAGGCAGAGCATTCAGATGGGAACAGGCAAGCTCAGTAGAAGAGAGGCAGAACAGGTCCGGACAACAGGAACACTATGATACGCTAAAAACTTGCTCTCTCCGCTGAGCCAAGACAGGAACAGGGAACACTCAGTGGATAAGAG